TGGTTGTTTGCTCAAAATCAACTTCCCCGATTTTCGCAGAGGCATCAATACGACAGTCATCGTCTCATCGGTCGCTGTTCAGAAAGAAGAGTGAAACATCGTCAGAAGAAATACAATAATTTATTATTGTAATATTTGTTCACAGACCTTAGTTCGCTTATTCTTTTTATATGTTGGTGTAACAATAAAGAATTCCAAAGCGGCCAATCGGTGTTTTGGTTTTTTCGTCCGTTATTACTAAGCGTTTCTTAAAACCTGCAAGGAACAGCGTGGGCCCGAGCGTAGCGAGAGCTGGGCATTAACGGTTTATGAGACGTGGCTGACAGTTTCTGATGGTGAAGTCAGTTAACGACGGTTTTGGACCGCTGGTGACAGTTTGGATAGTCACCGTTCATCTTTCCTGGTGCCGGTCAAGTCCTCTTTGAACAAGCAATATCTGGAACTTTTTTGGAATTAGGTCAAGTTCAACAATGCCTGGGTCAAAGAAGGGACAGAGTGTCTTGGATGCAAACAGGAAAGTAAGTCATGGTGACTTGTCTGTTAATTGTAACGATGTGTCTGAAGTTAAGCATGACATGGTTGATGTTACTGTTTCGCCGTTCAGGGATAATAGGAACATCAAACTCCCTAAATTTGAACCGCGGTGTTTTGATGGAAACCCGGCTGATTATTTACAATTTGTAAAGGAGTTTGAGATCATGCTGAGTGGTTTTTCAATAAATGATGAAATGAAGTTAATGTATTTGATGAGGTATTGCACTGGAGATGCTGCAAGAGCTATACAGTGCTGTAAGTTTATGAAGCCAAAGGAGGGCTACGATGAGGCTATGAGCATATTACGCCAAAGGTTTGGAAGACCCTCGATGATTGCAGGGAAATTATTCGAGGCTGTTGAGGGTAATGGTGGTCAGTTACAGGATGACTCCCAGGCACTCACTGAGTTTTTAGATAATTTGCTAATTTACAAGAATGGAATGATTTCGATGAATCGAATGAGTGACCTCAACTCGAGTTTTATCCTAGAAGTAATAGCAAGACGTCTACCTACCCGACTGCAAAGGAAGTGGGTGAAGATAAGCTCCCGTATGGAGGATGAGGGTATCGAGCCAAGGTTTGATGATATCCTGAAACTGGTAAATACTAGTGTTAATCAATCTATGAGCAAGTTCTCCAGTCTGTTAGATCTCACCCCTAGAATAGAGCAGTCTGAGGGTAAAACGCACTCATTGATGACGAATGAGCCTCAGAGAGGTGGATATCGAGAAGACTCCATGATGTCTAGTAATGCATATAGACCTAGTGAGTGTAACAGGTTTCGTAGTACATCCTCAACAGATAAGTTGCAAGATGCAAGACAAACACGGTTGTGTTGTACACGTTTGCGAGAGGTGCATACAAAGGTGAACTGTGAACCAGTGAGCAAGTTCAGTGATAAGCTAAATGTAAACTCCAGGTCTGACTCCGAATTGTGTGACGATAACGTTGTTGTGAAGAAGTCTGTAGTTGCAACTGGTAAGCCGTTGCTAAATAGAGTGACACAGAATAGAGTTACTGCTTCAGAGTGGAGTTCTGACTCCAAAAGTTTACAAAGTATAACTAGTCAGAGTGAAGATGTAAAACCTTTAATAATTTTTGAGGAGGAACCAAAATTGTCTACTTCTGTTATTAAAGAGTTTGAAAATGATAAAGTTGACGGTAAATTGAATATTCGTGATAATGATCATGATACTTCACAGTTGTCTCTGGTTGATCATGATGAGATGATAGATATGCCTACTACTGCTAAGTTGAACAAAGGTTCTGTACAACTTGAACGTGAAGTAGAAATAAATGCAGATTCAGTTGCAGAAGGCACGCATACTTGTGAGACCGTCAGTGGGAGTGATCAGCATGTAGCCCACCTATCATCAGATGCCAGTGCTAAGCCTGAGCTGATAGTAAAAGACAGCAGTGGTGGTGGTCTTGCAGGTAGACAAATTTCTGAAAAGCGAGCAACAACAGCTTTTGATCCACCGCTAACTTCATCAACTGGTATCAATCAGTCGTGGTAACGAGAGAGTAATTGTTAAATTGACTTGCCTGAATAAAGGCATTTCTAATTTCAAGTTACTATTTGAATGCTATTATCTTTGGCGTAAATTACTCTGTTTCTACGCTTGGTTGACCAGATACGTCGTATGTTTGTTCGTCACCTATATTCTATGATACAATGACATGAGCGAGTTGACGTTCAGATTTGAAGATATATCTCATAGAAGGAAGTTAGCAAATGAACTCTGCGACGATTTTCCAACCTAGAGCGTCAACCTGAGAAGGGTTGTAGGCGTACTGCTGTAAGTCCTACAGTTCTTCAAAGGGGAGCGCATCAATGAGCAGTCCAATGTGCTTGGTGTGTGATTTTGTACATATGTCCATATTGTATATACTGAATTGATATCATCTGTCATCTAGCTGTTGGTAATTCTGTTTGTGTCCGGACGACTTTCACTTGGATCATCAACCTGAGAAGGAATGTAGGCGTACTGCTGTAAGTCCTACAGTTCTTCAAATTTAGTTTGTCGTGTCAGAATCCACAACATTTGATGTGTTGATTGTACATATGTTTGTGTTAAATAGTTGTGTGAGTTCCAATTGATGTAATTGTTGGTTAATCTTGTTTGTGTCCGGAGATTCCACAAATTACAATCGCCAACCTGTGAAGGGTTTTAGGCGTACTGGTGTAAGTCCTGCAATTCTTCAAAGGAATTCCATCAAGACATGATCCGCGAGTTTGTGTGTACAGTTTGCATATATGTGTGGTGTGTCATATCAATTGGTGTTTTTTGGATTCATTGTGTTTACTTGTTGTTTTCGTACCTTGTTGTTATTGCGTAATTTTGTTAAAATTTTCGTCATGATTACTTCTGAAGTTGTTTCGAGTCTTCTACATCCGTGAATGAATTGATCGATGCTAAGGACAGCAGATGGGTCGTATACGCCGGGGAGGCTAGGCTATTTCTGAGAATGATATGCACACGGAGATAATTGTTAGCTGCGGTCCCACACGCCGGGGAGAAAGAGTGTAAACGACTGAGGCTCGCATGCGTCACCGCTACTAGAACTGAGGCGGAATGAGTGACAAGCGATTTCAGTGGTAATTGGTAGTGAGTAGATAAGAGGATGTGCGTAGAGTATCGTGAGGTGGTGCTATGGTCACGTTGCATTCTGCAAGAGTCATTCTAGCAAGTGGAGACTGTGTTGCAAGATGTCAAGAGGAGGTCTCTGTCTGGAGGCGCAGGTCGTCAGCGATGTGTGAGATTGTGCTGTGGGTATGCTTGTGGTGTGTCGGCTTTTCTGTTTGTTTTCCATTTCAGCTCTGTCCGTGTGACCCAGGTTCTCGCAATGGCATCCAAGTCAACGTGTATTGGTCGTGGTGGTAAAAAGGGGGTTGGATCCCTTTTTTGCCGGGGAGTGTCAATGGAGTTGAAGATTGAACGATCAATTCTTGGTTGTTTGCTCAAAATCAACTTCCTCGATTTTCGCGGAGGCATCAATACGACAGTCATCGTCTCATCGGTCGCTGTTCAGAAAGAAGAGTGAAACATCGTCAGAAGAAATACAATAATTTATTATTGTAATATTTGTTCACAGACCTTAGTTCGCTTATTCTTTTTATATGTTGGTGTAACAATAAAGAAATATCAAGCGGCAGATCGGTGTTTTGGTTTTTTCGTCCGTTATTACTAAGCGTTTCTTAAAACCTGCAAGGAACAGCGTGGGCCCGAGCGTAGCGAGAGCTGGGCATTAACGGTTTATGAGACGTGGCTGACAATAAGCATAAATCACAATATTACTTCTGATAATTTTTCTCCATCTTCCAACGAACAGCGAACTATGAAACGATCACTGTAGTATCGATGACTCCCGCCAAAATATAGAGTTGGTTTTGAGCAAACAACCGTGAATTCATCGTTCAATCTTCAACTCCATTGACACTCCCCGGCAAAAAAGGGATCCAACCCTTTTTTCCTTCACGACCAATACACGTTGACTTGGATGCCATTGCGAGAACCTGGGTCACACGGACAGAGCTGAAATGGAAAACAAACAGAAAAGCCAACACACCACAAGCATACCCACAGCACAATCTCACACATCGCTGACGACCTGCGCCTCCAGACAGAGACCTCCTCTTGACATCTTGCAACACAATCTCCACTTGCTAGAATGACTCTTGCAGAATGCAACGTGACCATAGCACCACCTCACGATACTCTACGCACATCCTCTTATCTACTCACTACCAATTACCACTGAAATCGCTTGTCACTCATTCTGCCTCAGTTCTAGTAGCGGTGACGCATGCGAGCCTCAGTCGTTTACACTCTTTCTCCCCGGCGTGTCGGACCGCAGCTAACAATTATCTCCGTGTGCATTTCATTCTCAGCAATAGCCTAGCCTCCCCGGCGTATACGACCCATCTGCTGTCCTTAACATCAATCAATTCATTCATGGATGTAGAAGACTCGAAACAACTTCAGAAGTAATCACGACGAAAATTTTAACAAAATTACGCAATAACAACAAGATACGAAAACAACAAGTAAACACAATGAATCCAAAAACACCAATTGATAGGACACACCACACGTATATACAAACAGTACAAACAACCTCGCGGATCATGTCTTGATGGAATTCCTTTGAAGAATTGCAGGACTTACACCAGTACGCCTACAACCCTTCACAGGTTGACGATTGTAAGTTGTGGAATGTCCAGACACAAACAAGATTAACCAACAATTACATCAATTGGAACTCACACAACTATTTAACACAAACATATGTACAATCAACACATCAAATGTTGTGGATTCTGACACGACAAACTACCCTTGAAGAACTGTAGGACTTACAGCAGTACGCCTACATTCCTTCTCAGGTTGATGATCCAAGTGGAAGTCGTCCGGACACAAACAGAATTACCAACAGCTAGATGACAGATGATATCAATTCAGTATATACAATATGAACATATGTACAAAATCACACACCAAGCACATTGGACTGCTCATTGATGCGCTACCCTTTGAAGAACTGTAGGACTTACAGCAGTACGCCTACAACCCTTCTCAGGTTGACGCTCTAGGTTGGAAAATCGTCGCAGAGTTCATTTGCTAACTTCCTTCTATCAGCTATATCCTCAAATCTGAACGGCAACACGCCCATGTCATTGTATCGTAGAATATAGATGACCAACAAACACACGACATATCTCATCAACCAAGTATAGAAACAGAGTAATTTACACCAAAGATAATAACATTCAAATAGTAACTTGAAACTAGAAATGCCTTTATTCGTGCAAGTCAATTTAACAATAACTCTCTCCTTTACACTTGGCTTATCCACACTAAACTGACCATTGATATTCGTCCTTTCAAACGAACTGATACTACCATAGTCATTGCACAAGATACTTGAGTTGATGGGTGTCTGTTTCATTGTGGATGACAGCACCAACGACGACTGATTGATATCAGTTGATGAACTTAGCAGTGGATCAAAAGCTGTTGTTGCTCGCTTTTCAGAAATTTGTCTACCTGCAAGACCACCACCACTGCTGTCTTTTACTATCAGCTCAGGTTTAACACTAGCATCTGATGATAGGTGGGCTACATGCTGATCACTCCCACTGACGGTCTTACAAGTATGCATGCCTTCTGCAACTGAATCTGCATTTATTTCTACTTCACGTTCAAGTTGTACAGAACCTTTATTTAACTTAGCAGTAGTAGGCATTCCCTCCATTTCATCATGATCAACCAAAGACAAATCTGCACTATCATGATCATTATCACAAATATTCAATTTACCGTCAACTTCATCATTTTCAAACTCTTTAATAACAGAAGTAGACAATTTTGGTTCCTCCTCAAAAATCATTAAAGGTTTTACATCTTCACTCTGACTAGTTATACTTTGTAAACTTTTGGAGTCAGAACTCCACTCTGAAGCAGTAACTCTATTCTGTGACACTCTATTTAGCAACGGCTTACCAGTTGCAACTACAGACTTCTTCACAACAACGTTATCGTCACACAATTCGGAGTCAGACCTGGAGTTTACATTTAGCTTATCACTGAACTTGCTCACTGGTTCACAGTTCACTTCTGTATGCACCTCTTGCACACGTGTAAACAAAGCCGTGTTTGTCTTGCATCTTGTAACTTATCTGTTGAGGATGTACTACGAAACCTGTTACACTCACTAGGTCTATATGCATTACTAGACATCATGGAGTCTTCTCGATATCCACCTCTCTGAGGCTTATTCGTCATCAATGAGTGCGTTTTACCCTCAGACTGCTCTATTCTAGGGGTGAGATCTAACAGACTGGAGAACTTGCTCATAGATTGATTGACACTAGTATTTACCAGTTTCAGGATATCATCAAACTTTGGCTCGATACCCTCATCCTCCATACGGGAGCTTATCTTCACCCACTTCCTTTGCAGTCGGGTAGGTAGACGTCTTGCTATTACTTCTAGGATAAAACTCGAGTTGAGGTCACTCATTCGATTCATCGAAATCATTCCATTCTTGTAAATTAGCAAATTATCTAAAAACTCAGTGAGTGCCTGGGAGTCATCCTGTAACTGACCACCATTACCCTCAACAGCCTCGAATAATTTCCCTGCAATCATCGAGGGTCTTCCAAACCTTTGGCGTAATATGCTCATAGCCTCATCGTAGCCCTCCTTTGGCTTCATAAACTTACAGCACTGTATAGCTCTTGCAGCATCTCCAGTGCAATATCTCATCAAATACATTAACTTCAATTCATCATTTAATAAAAAACCACTCAACATGATCTCAAACTCCTTTACAAATTGTAAATAATCAGCCGGGTTTCCATCAAAACACCGTGGTTCAAATTTAGGGAGTTTGATGTTCCTATTATCCCTGAACGGCGAAACAGTAACATCAACCATGTCATGCTTAACATCAGACACATCGTTACAATTAACAGACAAGTCACCATGACTTACTTTCCTGTTTGCATCCAAGACACTCTGTCCCTTCTTTGACCCAGGCATTGTTGAACTTGACCCAATTCCAAAAAAGTTCCAGATATTGCTTGTTCAAAGAGGACTTGACCGGCACCAGGAAAGATGAACGGTGACTATCCAAACTTTCACCAACTGTTTAAATCCGCCAGATCTGTTTTCATCGTCAGAAACTGTCAGCAACGTCTCATAAACCGTTAATGCCCAGCTCTCGCTACGCTCGGGCCCACGCTGTTCTTAGAAGATTTCTGAGAAACGCTTAGTAACAACGGACGAAAAAACCAGAACACCAATTGTTGACTTGAGTATTATGTATTGTTACACCAGCATATAAATCAAGTATCACTAAGCAAACTAAGAAAACTAAGGTCTGTAAACAAATATTACAATAATAAATCGTTATGTTACTTCTGACGATGTTTAACTCTTCTTTCTGAACAGCGACCGATGAGACGATGACTGTCGTATTGATGCCTCCGCGAAAATCGAGGAAGTTGATTTTGAGCAAACAACCAAGAATTGATCGTTCAATCTTCAACTCCATTGACAGCAGTAGAGTACAATAGGTAAAATACAGGAGTTTAAAAATTGCAAAACTAAAGGTTGGTTGATACCTGATTGTCTTAACTTTTTAATGTAGAAGGTAAGACGAAACATTTTCTTAGAGATAGATAAGATATGGGATGACCATGAAAGGTCAGAGGAAAAAACTAGTCCAAGGTATTTAATACTTGATTTGGTTTCAATTTCCGTGCCATCTATGCTACAGGGATCATGAGAGTTAACTAGTTCAAGTAAGTCACGTCGATGCTTGAAAGTAAAGTCAAGCACCTGACATTTGGAAGGATTTAATATAAGACCATTTGACTTGGACCAGTTGTTGATGTCCAACAGAAAGCTATTAAGTTTGGAGCTGTCAGACTCGGAAGTGATAGGCAGTGATACAGTCAGATCATCTGCATATTTAACAAAGTTAGTTTCGTTTGAATGAGGCAGGTCATGTAGGAAGAAAGAAAAAAGAAAAGGAGAGAGGACAGCACCTTGTGGAACACCGGATTTTGTAAGCGAGGTAGAAGAAGATTTGCCGTTATATACAGTATACTGCATTCTATCAGAAAAATAGGAATGCAACCAACTCTTAGCCCAGGATCCTGTTTGTGTCAATGATAGCTTATTTAATAAAAGGCCCCTAGGTACAGAGTCAAAAGCAGATGTGTAGTCTAAGAAAGCACTACGAACATATTTAGCACCTTTGTCTAAACAAGAGACAACATTGTGATATAAGACAACCGCAGCATCCAAGGTACTTCTACCATGTTTGTATGCAAATTGTTTAGGATCATTAAAAGGTTTCAAAGCGGGTTCAAGACGAAGTAAAAGTAATTTTTCCATCAATTTTAAAAAGGGGGAAGTAATTGCAATAGGCCGAAATTTAATATCAGAACCAGAAGATGGTTTTGGTATAGGGATAATTTTAATGTTTTTCCATGCAAAAGGTAGAACGTTACCGGAAAAAGAGGCATTAAAAATGTTAGTAAGAGGATAACACAAAATATCAGCACAATTCCTGAGGACAATGGCAGGTATGCCGTCAGGACCAAGGCTTTGAGAAGGCTTAAGAGACCGGAGACATTTAAGCACATCAAGGGTATTAAAACCACTAAAGTTATTGTCAATATGATTTGTATCATTTGGAAGGGTATCAACAGAAGAGCGTATGAAAGATTTATTAAGAGTGTCAACATTAAGAGATGGAACAGAAATACATCGCTTACCGTTAGTAATTTCTTTGAAAAGTTTCCATAAATTAGAAGGGGTTTTACATGACAAAAATCTTTGATTATATAAAACACTTAGTCTTTTTATTTCCAGTTTTATCAGCATGTTTAACTTTTTTACACCAGGCTTATCATTAGTTTTGAACAACAGTTCTTTATTTCTACGTAGCTTTTTGAGATATGGCGAAGATAAGCGATCAAATCGGATGAATAATGTTTCTTTAGGACAACATATTTCGAAACAGAATTTAAGATAATCGGTAGTGTTTGTGATTGTTTCATCTAATGTTTGTTCTGTAAATAAGTCCCAGTTAGTGTCTTTCAACATGCATCTGAGCTTGTCTAGGTTGTCTTTTGAGTAGCATCTCCGTTGAACTTTACTGTAGAGGTGAGAGAGGACACCTTTGTGTGATTTGGAATATATTTTAGGCAGCACACGTATGATGCAGTGGTCAGAATTAAGTAGAGGAGCACGTTTGCGAGCTTCATATATACCAACATCATTGATAAATACCAGGTCCAGTGTTTTACCAAGACGGGTGGCAAAGTTGACAATATTGTCATGACCAAGTGATATAAGGAAGGAGCAATCGCTTCCATTGAAGTCGCCAGTTACTATTGATAAAGAGTTCTCGAAACAAGCTGCAGCAAAAGCGGTGAATTCATCGGCGAACATAGATAAATCCAATATGGTACAGCCAGGAGAGACATAAACATTAGAAATATAAATGAATTTGTATTTTGAAATGTGTTTCGGGCGACATCTCACAGTGATGCAATCAATGAAGTCATTCGAGAATTTGAAACAAACTTTGTTTGAAATGGACCATTTCGAGTGAATAAAAGTTGCAACACCTCCACCACACTTTTTCTTGGAACAAATACGGTCTTGTCGAAAAACATTGAAATTGTTTAGAGACACAATATTGTCATCGTATGAGTCATGGAGCCAGGTTTCTTGCAGAGTGACAATACCAGTATTGTGGTAGGTACTAGAAGACAATAGAGACTGAAAATCCAGAATTTTGTTAGGTAGGGACCGGCAGTTGGTACTAATGATAACTGGAACAGTGGTGTGATGTATGGGTGTAGATTTTAAGGCACGCTGCCAACCTCCATGGTGCTTTTTCTTGAGTTTATTGCAAATATGAAAGTTTTTGGGTTTAAAACGTTTTATAAAATCCCGAGGGTAGATAATACGATTAGAATGCATAATGTGATATGTAAATACCAATAAAATACGAGTAAATAGATGCAAAATGTACATGGAATGTGGTAGCCCAAAAGTATTCAAACAGGCCGCCAAGGTCATTCGATGTTAATTAAAGAGTTTGAAAATGAAGTCGATCATGCAAAGGGCGGTAAAGTGAATATGAGTGGCAATGATCATGATAGTGCACATTTGTCTTTGGCTGATCATTATAAGATGAAGGGAATGCCTACTACTGCTGAGTTGAACAAAGGTTCTGTACAACTTGAATGTGAGGTAGACTTAAAAGCAGATGCGGTTGCAGAGGGTTTGGATACTCGTGAGACTGTCAGTGTAAATGATCAGCGTGTAGTCCACCTATCGACAGAGATCGTACTCCTAGGGATCAGTCCTATAGTCCGTATCACCTGTGTGCGTGGGTGGCACAGTGGTTAGGACTCTCGCCGACCATTCACATGGTCCGAGGTTCGGTCCCTCGCCGACGCACACCGGATATCTATGATCGACCTGCGAAATTCGGGCTACCGATATCCATGCTGAAAATTCCACACTTGTACCAAAAATACAATGTGGAATCAAGCTGTAAATAAAAATAAAAAAATAAAATAAATAAATGCTAAACTGGAGCTAATAATGAAGGACAGCAGTGGCGGTAATCCTACGGTTAGACAACATTTTAAAGGTCGAACAACAACAGCTTTTGATGCACCACTAAGTTCATCAACTGGTATCAATCAGTCGTCGTTGGTGCTGTCATCCACACTGAAGGTGACGACCATGAACTCAGGTGTCTTATGCTATGACTTTGCTGGTATCGGTCCGTTTGATAGGACGAATGTCAATGGTCAGTTTAGTGAGGATAAGGAAACTGTGTATGAGAGAGTAATTGTTAAACTGACTTGCACGAATAAAGGCATATCTAGTTTCAAGTTACTATTTGAATGTTATTATCGTTGGTGTATATTACTCTGTGCCTACGCTTGGTTAATCAGATACGTCGTGTGTTTGTTAGTCATCTATATTCTACGATACAATGTCATGGGCGTGTCGCCGTTCAGAGTTGAGTATATAGACGGTAGAAGGACGTCAGGAAATGAACACCGCGACGACTTTCCAACTTAAGGGCGTCAACCTGAGAAGGGTTATAGTCGTACTGCTGTAAGTCCTACAGCTCTTCAAGGGTAGTTCGTCATGGCAGAGTCCACAACATTTGATGTATTGATTGCGCATATATTTGTGTTGGGTAATTGATTGGGTTCCCATTCATTTTCTTGTTGGTTAATTTTATGGTCGACGCATTGTGTGAACCATCGTGTAATGTTATTGTAAGTACTTCTGAAGTGGTTTCTAGTCTTCTAAACTGATGAACAAATCGATTAGTGTTACATTCATTGTACGCGATTTGATACGCCGGGGAAGGTATTGTGCCAGAGTGATATGAAGCAGCCAACACCCCGTGGACCAGATCAGTGGTGGTACTTCGACAGAGAGCGAAGGAAATTTCCAATCAGTGAGGAAGATCTCACACGTCGGGGAGAGCGTTCTGGTGTTATATGGTATGTTTATTGTGTGTTGGGCTTTTCGCTTGGTTTTCCACTTTAGCCTAGTCCTGGTTGGCCCAGGTCCCTCATTGGTAGTTCAGTTGGAGGTTATCATCGCTGTGGAAAAAAGGGATGGACCTTTTTTGCCGGGGAGTGTCAATGCAGGTGAACATTGAACGTTTGTTTTTGGAACTGGTAGCCATTGGTGGGCAACTTGAAGGCGCAAATGGTTCGACCGTGTACAGGTTCGACGAAGATGAACGAAAACGAATAAAAGTACATAATAATTTCGTGTAAAACATTTGTTAGTAGACTTGTACTGTTCTCCACTTTAATTGCCTAACAATATAACTTCCTTCTTACAATGCTTTTGTTTTGGAGTTAAGGTCGAAGATAGTACATAGTATTTATCGTTGCGGAACTTCTCCGTGTCAGCAGGAGCGAAAGACCAGAACAAATATTGGCGACTCGACAATCCTTTATTCTTACGCCAATATGTAACCAACAATAAGGTTATTATACACAAGGTCCAAGAATAAATGTCTCAACAATAAACCACAATAATACTTCTGATAGTTTTCTGCCTTCCGCCGAACAGCGAACGATGAGACTATGACTGCCAGGTTGATGATTCTCGCGAAAAATATGGAGGAGTTGAGGTTGAGCAAACTATGAATTGATCGTTAAATCTTTAACTGCATTGACACCATATGAAAATCGGTCATGAAAATTTAGTTCAGGCAGTTCTGTTACCCTGCTGTCTTCCTCACGATCATTCTGCATAACTTTATCACTAGTCGTTCCCCTAGCCATTTAACTGTGCTAAATTGACTATAATTTATTTGCTGTAATACTGGCTGACTCTATACTTCGTGGATTTTTACAGGAAACTTAGTTTCTTAGTCGTTTGTATTATTCTGCTTATGCATGTGTATGCATATATAAAGGTAATACTACTAAGAATGTCCTCAGGCATCGATGTATCTATTAACCTAAAGGGAAGCAGTTGTCATGAAAGCTATTCTAGTGCAGCATACTGTATGATCCCGATGGGCTGAAGGTAATGCGATGCTACTACTGCACTTATTGCAAAACATATTGCATCAAAAAAGAAGGTATGGTGGTGCATGCTGATCAGGAGATATGGTTGAGGTCACAAATGTCAATCATCCCCAACTTCAGGACAGCAACAAGCACTCGAGAGTTAAAAATGAGTCTAGATCCTTAAAAAACAACAAGGATTGTATAAACATCACTGATTTCAAAATAGCACATCAATGAACTATAATTCAAGAACCCTGCACACAACAAAGTTATGTGTGAAAATTGACTTCAAGCTTTATTTTTTTCCCAGGCACTTATAACCCATCCACCAAAGACCTGGTTTGTTTGTTATTGCGAAGACAATAATTCTGTATTTCCTGATGTGTTGCACTCACTGACAATCTAGAAGATTTTTCCATCTCTACACGGAAATGATTGTATGTAAGTGAAAAGGCTGTTTTATACCACTGGGATTAACATTTATCAAGTGTATGTATAATCTCCAGCGAACATGTAAAGCATATCTTGCTACCACCTGTAAATTGTGATTGAATTATATGGTTCTATTTCTCTAACAATTTGATGATGCCTGTAAACTGGCGCCCCTCATGTACTGTCCTATGAGAATAAATTTATTAATTTATTTAGTTCTGAATTTTCAAATCATGCTTTTGCTCCTAACATCTACAAGCTTGCTTAGAATCTTGTCAGGATGCTACCATATGGGCGGTTTAGAAATTCGCATTCTACAGTCCGGCATATCCCACAGGTTCTGACCTTTCAGGACCGTGGTGCCACTTGCCACTGAAATATCACTTACATGCTTCACGATAATCTTATTTACGCACGATTTTACTGCATTTTATCTTGAATCCCTAGGCCTTTATTAAAGCCAAGACTTACCCCTTGCTTAAAGTGTGGTTGCTCTGATGAAAAAAAACAAAAATACCAAGTGCGATGTCTGACCAAGGCTGTATTTTCATCGTAAACATCAGTTTCCATTGTAAGACCAATGTGGTTAGCATTAAACATGCAAATGTATGCTCCTTCTCGTATTTAATTTGTAGATGTAGTGTCAATGACGTACTATCCATCATTGCGTTTTATACCATTTTGTAGCTTCCCGGGACGTTCTCCTCTTGCTGAAATGGCTTTTAATCACGTGGGGACATAACACTTACACGAATATATGTTGTTAATAATATACATACACTATTATTAATTATAAAGCCAAATGAGAATTTTCCGAAAAATTACTCAGGTTGTGTTGCCTGAATGGAAGAGGAAGCTTAAAGATCTGGAATAATATAAGAACTGGGCTTTTAGCACTAAATGCATGGATTTGTGCCTATTATATCTCATCTCGGAAATTTGTGGATAGGCGGGGACCATGTGCTGTTGGATGGCCTTATTTTTCCATCTCGACCTCGGTTTTGTAGGTATGTCTCTCCCAAAACTTGCTGGCTAGTTGTTTTTATTTAGTGTGAGACGTCAAAAATCATACGGAACTCAACCTGACTTTATTTCAAGCATCTGGGAAGGAACGAACATTCGTGAACCAATCCTGACGACTCTTGTGGCCAAGGAACTCATTTAGATTACTATACCGCATTTAAAATGGAACTTTAATATCACTTCTTTCACATTTCAGCAAGGCCACCTAATCTTTTTCCAGTGAAGATGAAATGATCGTGAATTAAAACAATACCAGCCGCCACCAAATAAACATTGGACATAAAATTGAGGTCGAGTTTCTCTCCCAGATCTTATCGCGCAAAGCTCAATATCTCGTAGCACGTGCGTCATTAGGTTTGTAGGTTGGTGTTGATGCTTGTTAGAGGTTTGAATTGTTATTCACCTTACATCTGCATATTGAGAAGTGCTTTTGTTATATAAAGCATTGCATTCTTTTTCGTTATATCTCTGGTGCAGATCACTCGAAATTGTAATTCACTATTGGTTCCCAATTAAAATCCTACTATGGATAAGGACTAACGTGGTTGAGTATTTGACTCGATTATTCTGTTTATCCTCTTAAGCTGTACTCGTATTTCTCTGAATCGTGAACCATGATCTATGCCTATTACTGAAATATTAAATTTCAGCTTTTCCTTAATCAGGTCTCAAGGCTCCTTACAAAGTTGTTGTAATGAATGTAGCCACGTAATTCTCGAGCTCTATGTTCTGCTATTCAGGGAGTGTTCGGATCGCTATACCATGACACTTTTGAAGTAACATGTGCTGTAGGTCTCACACTAGAGAGTATAATGACACCGAGTAAGCATTCCCCAGTGGTAGTTTGTAACTGGCTGTATTTTGGCGACATACCCTGATTTTGATTAGTAGTGGACGTGTGTTGTGCAAATGTACTCACAGTTGATTTTAGTAAACCATTCGGCGTTGTTAGAAATAATTTTTTCCGAGATCCTGTCATATTGACGTGTGCATGTAGCCGGATGCTAATTGCTTATGCTTATGAGTCTTCATGTTCAAAGATCATATGTCTAAGATACCCGAAAATTGATTGCGAGCAACATATATACTGGGGACGGAGCAGACATATCCTCAAGGATATTAGACCAACAAATATGTGCTCAGAGTTTTGACACCTAGATCTAGCTATTTTTCAACTCATACAAGCATATAATTCCTACTCTTTTTTATGTGGGACTATTTCTTTCTATTTCAGCTTCAATTTCACCCCCTTCAAAATAATTCCGAGTCGTTTAAAGTGTAAGAATCATCATGCCGAAGTCTCCTTTCAAAGTCGGTATGTTAATATTCTCGTATTTAAAACCAATATTTTAGCTGATATTAGTTTGGCGGATTGGGGTAGAAGAGAAATTAAACTGGCAGAAAATGAGATGCCAGGGCTGATGATGATGAGACGAATGTATGGAAAAGATAAACCACTTTCAGGTGCAAGAATAGCGGGTTGTCTTCACATGACTGTCCAGACTGCAGTGTTAATCGAAACTCTGGTTGAACTAGGAGCTTCCGTCCAGTGGTCATCGTGCAACATTTTCAGCACACAAGATCACGCTGCAGCAGCTATTGCGAAAACCGGAGTGCCTGTGTATGCGTGGAAAGGCGAAACAGATGAGGAGTACATTTGGTGCATAGAACAGGTAAGTAAAGCATACTTAAAAGACAGCAAAATTAAGCAGAAACATTTCGGTAACTTGTCTGACCCAAGAGTTATATATGCATAATATTTAAAGTGTAGTCAGTGACAGTAGTTGTTTCTAAATAATAACGAGTAGTGTGATTTTATGAATGATATACCAGTAAAATCGGTAAAATTACTGTTCATCCATGTGTAAGTGACAATATGTACCTGTAGAGTAAGGTTAGGAAGTTATCGAAAAGAGTGATCTTTGCTAAATCTTTATCTTTTCTTATAAATATGTAAATGGGAATTTCGTTTATTTTTAGACTCTTGTATTTAACGATGGTTTGCCATTGAACATGATACTAGATGACGGTGGTGATCTGACATCTCTTATTCATGAGAAACATCCAGATTATCTTCCCGGAATAAAGGGAATTACAGAAGAAACAACAACTGGCGTTCGAAATCTTTACAGAATGCTTTCCAGTGGCCTATTGAAATGTCCAGCTATCAATGTCAACGATTCTGTTACTAAAGTGAGATGTCTTTCACAACTAATTAAACCCACTAACAGAGTAAATTTGATAATCTTTACGGATGCCGCGAATCCCTAGTTGATGGGTTGAAGAGAGCAACTGACATTATGCTTGCAGGAAAAGTGGCATTAGTTGCGGGTTATGGAGATGTGGGGAAAGGTTGTTCCCAGGCCCTGCGTTCCTACGGCGCCCGAGTACTTATTACAGAAGCCGATCCAATCAATGCCCTACAGGTAAATTATCTTTGTACTTTTCCGCCCACATCTATGACTCCATTTTTCAGTATTTGTAATAATGTTATTTTGTTCTGTCGTCTAATGCCCAAAGGCATTTAGTCAAATAAAATGTAAAAAGTCCAGTTAAGTTCAATTGTCACAAGTCTAGGATCTTAATGCGATTCATGTGACCATGTTCACTAGAAGTTCTCAGTCCTTTGATGGAAGTTTTGTATGGTTTGTAAGGCTCATGCAAATAGATTTTACAAAATGTGACGTGTGTAAACAAACAGCGTACTCAGAAGGCAATGTTTGTTTGCTGCTAACGTTGACCTTATTGTTTGTTTTCGTCATTGGTATGAATCAGGACCGCATTTATTTCATTATGTAATTCCTCACCATTTCTGTAGTTCAAATGCTTTTGCCAGAATCATCTTGAAAGTAATTTTTTTAAATAGCTTGAAAATCCCCATTTATTCATTTGCAATTTGCAATCATTTTTTTAAATACTATGCTTTAGGAAGCACTAATTAAATAAACTCGTTTCTTTTAGGTGTCATTCATTAATGAAGTAGATTATTATAGTTGTCGTCATCGAAATTTGTTGACTCACAATGCTGTAAGCAGCAAGCGTGTACACGTCGTAGGCACTGCCTATGACGCTTTTTATCACCTAGAGATATGCTAGGATTGTCACTCTAGTAACTTTCCTGTCGTTCACTGTTTGATAACAACGGTTGGAAAATTGATATAAGTATAAAGCTTGGGCACTGTAGTAGAGTATAACTCCATTATGGATAATATTTGATTTTGGTAAATCACAGTGGCTAGCGGCGGTCAAACAAAAACTTGGCATCAGTCAATGAAATCCACAACAGTTGGTCTAAGCCACGTAGAAAGGTGTAGACTTCCAGGCTGGGGTCCTCGGGACGGTAAAAATCTATGGTTGGAAACAATTGGTGACATGGCTCAAAACCGTTCTCAGTGGCGCAGATGCATCCACTCCCTGTGACTTATGATCTTCAATGAAACTGTTTTGTTTTTCTTTATTACTCCTTTGTCTCACACCTCTGCTCACTGTTTCTATTATGCTTTTCTTGCACTTTCTTCTCTTGCTTCGCGTGCTACACGGAGTGTGGCGACTTGAACTGCCGCACATTTGTGCAAAGTTCTATGTCGAAAACAGACAGACAGACAGAAATCACAGTGTTGTGCAGTAATATTAACTGATGACGTTTCGAGCAGAAATTATTGCTCATAATCACATCAATTCACTTACAACAGTTGGAAAAACCCAGGAGGTAGTCAGCGCACTACGAAGAGGTGTGGTTTCTGGTCAGTGCCAGTTGATAAGTCACAACTCCTTATGTCCCATCCAACAAATCATGAGGCTAGTAGATGTGATTATAATCAGATTCACTATTACATTATTCATTATTTCAACAAAAAGGACTAATAGTTACTTTGCTCCTTTCTACTTAGCCAGAATGTGAAAAATTCTTATTCTGTTTTCATTTCTTCGCATTCTCAACTGTCACATCTCATATTTAGTGCATTTTGTTAACCCTGTGCTACACAGGCCTTGCCTTTCAACGAATGATTTAAAACTTAGATACTAAATTATCTGTGTGAGAAACATTGAGGTTAGGCGTCGAGTGCTAGTCGACGAGTTTGTAAAACTACACCTGTTGATATGTTTAGGACATGTATTGCGTATGCCTAGGCATCGCCTTCCTCGATGGGCAATGTTAACTGATATAGGATCAGCTTGGAAAACAGCTAGTGATGATCCAACCAAAACAGGGCTTCATCAACTAATGAAGTCCACAACAATTAGTTTAAGTCCACTTAAGAATTCCTGGTTGAGGTCCTCGGGATAATAAGAACCAATGAAGGTGTGAGTCTATTGGTTATATTGCTCAGAATCGTTCTCAATGGCTGGTGCAGATGCATTCACTCTTTGTGGCTTACAATATCCAATAAAACTGCTGTTCTTCCATATTAATATTCTTTTTGCCTCATTTTTCTGTCTGTCATCTCTGTTTTGAATCTTTCTCTACTGTCTTCTCTGGCTTTGTGTGCTACGTGGAGTGTGGCAACTCAGTCGATCTGTGTCTGTTTACAAAGGCTAAGTACAAACATCTGATTTTTCAGCCGTGACTTCTTCGATTACACTTGGTAATAGTTATATGGCTATTGCAATAAAAAACTGCCATATTTCAGGTGATTTAATCTTTAACGTTTTCATAATATTTAAACATATTGATAACTTGCCTGATTTTTCCACTCACAGGCCGCTATGGAAGGCTATGAAGTTACAACAATGGAGGAAGCGGCAAAAAAAGCTAAAATATTTGTTACTGCCACTGGTTGTGTAGACATCATCACTGGTTCACATTTTGAGGAAATGTTGGATGATGCAATTGTCTGTAATATTGGTCATTTCGACACTGAAATTGATGTCAAGTGGCTGAATGAGAACTGTGTTAGCAAGGAGTCAATCAAACCTCAGGTAACTTTCCCATAATGTGCTTACAATTTCTTAGGTTGATAGGTTTACTCTAAAAAATGGAAGACACATCATTTTGCTTGCGGAAGGTCGTTTAGTGAATTTGGGCTGCGCACATGGTCACCCTAGTTTCGTGATGTCTAACTCATTCACAAATCAAGTCCTGGCTCAAATAGAATTGTGGACAAAGCCTGATCAATATAAAGTTGGTGTTTATTTTCTCCCTAAAAGGTCAGTTTTGTAGACAAAGATAGTTTGCATAATCAGTTATGTGTGAAAACATCACCTTGCCATGACCAGTATCCAGTCAGTTCGTGGCATGAGGTAGATAGAGACCAAGTTTTGTGTCTTCGTATTGCAAATTAGGTTTCTTTTTAACAATGGTCTTTTGCTGGTTTCAAAATCTAATTTATATGAAGTTTCTAACAGGTTTTATTTGAAAAAGATGTCATGATTTCTTCGAACTCTTAAGGTTTCAAATCTTGCTTTTAGATGAATCGCAGTATGTTGTATTCCTTAGTGATTAATTACGCTTAGACTCATTGGTGTTCACCCCATAAAACACTACAGAATACTAATTCTTGTTCATACAATGTGATGATGTCGGTCAGAGATGCTACCACTGAGCTATTCGGGCTCAGGGAATAGTCTGGTTGACTTCGTGATGTTGTCCCTCTACGTGAAGACGCTCTTAAAGTGCAGTCTTATGAACACACTGAGCATAAATCTTCAAATATTTGGCATGTGACTCGCTCGTATCATTTGTGAGATAATTCTGCAGTATTCGACTACATCGAATCCTGGTTTAAAAATGGGCACCGAGTGGTAGAGCGTGTTGACCATTTCACTTATTTAGGAAGTCGTATCTGCCCAAATGAACTCATTACCCAATAAATCTCAACACGGTTAGAAAAGGTTCATATGGGATTTGCCGATTTACATAATCTTTGACGTATATGTGATATCCGGTTTTCGATCAAAGGGCGTGTGTACTGCTCAGCAGTTAGCTCTGTTCTTTTTGACTGCGATATTTGGCCATTAAAAGTGGGAGATACTGAATGGTTAGCTGTCTTTGATCATAGTTGTCTGCGTCACCCATATTAGGCGATGTAATATGGTGAGTAATATCGAGGTTAGGCGTAGTGTTGGGTGAGGTGGGAAAGTCAACCGAACAGGTTGTGAAGGTAGATCGAGTGAGATAGCTAGGACGTGTGTTATGCGTGCCTAGCTATTGCCTTCTTCGTTGGGTAATGTTACCTTATATGGGATTGATTAGTTTAGAAAAGAGTTAGTGGTCGTCAAACCAAAACCATAACATCAATTCATGATACCTTCAAAGTAGAAAGATGTAGACTTTTCGTTTGATGTCCTCGGGATCTTGAAAACCAGTGGCTTGAGACTATGGTTCAAAATTATTCTCAGTGGGGCAGATGCGACCCCCAACATCCACTAAACTGTTACATTTTTTTCATAATATTCCTTGTCTTCCATTTTTTTGCATCTTATAGTCCTATTGAATCCTTTTTCTCAGTTGTTTTCTTTCGTGTGCCGGATGGATCGTGGCAACTTAAACTGCTGCACATCTGTCCACACTTTTATTTTTTAACTCAGTCAGCTCAGGTTAATATTGTCAGTGAATAACAAACACATTTAACGTTTATACCGTTTATCTGACAGTTTTATACACTGTTGGCCTATATGCTATAGTAATCGTTTAATTTACCTTACAGTTGGATGAAGCTGTCGCTGCCGCTCATTTGGATCAGTTGGGAGTAAAACTAACAAAACTAACGCGTAAACAAGCGGACTACCTAGGAGTTCCAGTTGATGGACCCTTCAAAGCAGAACACTATCGTTACTGAATTGCTCTAGTTAAATTTCATTAAACAGGAAATCATGTGCATAAGATTATTCCCATGGAATGACAATTTATTGGTTATTTCATTTGTGTATACAAAAATATAAATTTCTCCTCCGAAAGTAGTGTCTTTTAATAATTAACAATATAAGGAATGTCGAATTTAACTGTTTTAATTTACAGTATTGTAAAAGTCTTGCAATTAAGAATGACAGCGAATGTATTTCCTCTTCATGCGTCATCTGTTGATGTTTGGTACTTGTAACATCCAGCGAAGGAGTTCCTTTCCATTCATTTCATGTTTAAGCTGTCAGCGGCTTATGTGCTTGAATTATCGTCTAGCTGATAGTGTTTTGTCAACTGCACTTACATTTGTTAACAGCTGATTAGGTTGCTTAGCGCGCTCTTTACTATTACCAATGGCGTTTAGGATGACTTTATCAGTGGAGTAATTTTTGCATATATAAAATATCCACTGGATTACCGTCGATAGCATATCTGTAAAATTGGTTATTGAAGTACTCTAATTGTTCATAAGAACTTTGAAAAAGAAATTCTCATCTCTTCGTATACTGTTACGGTTAACAGTGCAACTGATTAAGCTGTTGACCGGATACTCAAATCCTATTGTTTCCCCAAACAGTGAGCTACCAGGCTAATTCACGTCACTACAGCTTACTTCCTATATATATTTTAATTCTAAACAGTTAGCAAGTCCGCGGAATATTTTTTTAGACAGTATGAATTGAGTGGTTTTCAATATTCACAGCCATAATTGTCACTATAGGCCAAAAAAGAAAGATACTGAAGAAAAAAATAATGGTGAAGTGCACATCCGTCGGTATTGTATATCTACCTGTTATTAAGTCAACATAATATGGTCTAACCTATACTCAAACTCAGTGTATTGCTTTGATTGCATAACAGTTGAACACGCTTTGTCCCCAAACATAGGCCCTTCAGTTAAGAGTAGTAGGTCGTTTAGATTTTTTTTTTCTAGTTAGTTGTAATTATAGTGTTCTGTAACACTTTTTAAGCATTGTGAATCTTTGGCATGTCTGAATTTGATGTTCTTTTTGACACTAGTATATTTACATGGTATGCCACCTTATTTATTAATTACCGGAATGTCTAAAAAATGGGTAGGGTGAATTGTTTTCACAGTAAAACAGTAAACATCATTATAGTCATTAAATGAATCTATCTGTTTTAATATTCAATAGTTTAACTTTTTATAGTGACAATAAAGTTTAGAATCTGTAATAATTTCATTTATTCACACTCTCTTCATTATAACCGACTTGGTTTCTTTCTTTAGTCTTAGGTATGAATTTGCAGCTGCTGAAACCTTCACCTATCCCATAGTGTATTGGTCTTATTCCTGTGTGTACAGCACTGGGTCGAGTTGTTGTCTTCTGTTTTCCAGTAATAGGTTGTAAGGTTTCATTTGCAACAGGTGCTTGACGATTACAACCTAAAACAGTGAAGCTGGTCGGTTTACTCCATCTGTTGTACGCCCAATGTTCACAAAATTTTTTATCGGCATTACGAATATCTTGTCGTCTTCTTGTGTACCAGTCAGGCTCAACAGCTGTAGATGACTGTGCTAAAATGTCTGGATGTCCTGCGGAATTCCATTTGTTCCATCCACCCTTGTTGTTAATAACAATTGGTTATAAGGAGTAAGATAATTCTCACCTGCAACAACTCTGCTCCTGAAAAGTGATAGACTGGTATTCGTTCCAAGCAAGGTTGCCTAAATGTAAATTAAATATTTATTCAATTTCTCCCTTACCATTCTTTTTCTATCTCATGTAAGGGAGGTATATACCTCATCGACGTCCAGTTTGTACAACCATACAGATTATTGATAACTACAACTGTGTAAACTTTGGAGGATTTTAAATATACCTTTTTCACCTGGGAGATTCCATGATGAAACAGGCATTGATGTTTTATCAATCTAGAAAACAAAGGGAAGTGGTATATATGAGTCTCAAATGTGAATAAGTGAGTCGGTGGCACAGCGGTAGAATGCTTGCCAACCATGTAGGTGGTTCTGGGTCCGACCACCCGTCAACGTACTCCTCTACCTTGCTAAGCCAGTAATAATAAAACTGGTAAAGAGGGAAGGTTGGTCATGAGGCCAGCAACCCCATCCCGTAAGAATATATACCACTGCTACTGAAACTTCAAAGCTCTGGCTTGAAAGTGTCCTATATTCCACTGGGAACGTAACGGAATAATAAGAAAGTAAAAGTGTGAATAAACTTTTTTCAAGTGACTGACTGAGTTTTATCATAGAACTTTGCATAGAAATACACCACCTAAAATTGCCACACACCAAACGACATACAAAGTTGGAAACAGAATCTATTCAAGAGAACCATAATGGGCGGAAATATATAGGAGAAATAATAACTACTTGGAAAAACAATGATAACTCCATGGATATGATGGATTACAAAGAGGGAATTCATCCTTGCCAATGAGAACGGTTCTCAGTCTTATTGTCAACAGTCTGAAGCCGTTGGTTTTTAGTGTCTCGAGGATCCCAGCCACCTCCGCATGGGGCTCAAACTAACTGACAAAGACTTCATGGACTGTTACCACCGCTACCAGCTCTTTATCCAACCCAGTCTCATATAAGTTAACATCGCCTGACGTGGAAGGCGTTGATTCAGCATACTTAATACACGTCCTAGCCATTTCAGTTGATGTAGGTCCACAACCTATTCGACGGATTTTCTCTCCAAATCTAACGCTAATAAAACCAAAATTTTCTTATTCATTATACGCCGGTGTTGATATTGACCAGAAAACTGTGGTGTGATTAGACAATCATGACCCTGAAGAACAAATCAAGCAAACTTACTCTATTTTCACAATTTCGTCGTCACACATATGTCAAAACATTCTGAATTTTGATGATATTCTGTAAACATTTGATCAGAATTTGCACAAAAGAGGACAAGATGTAAATGATACTGCAATGAACAAGGATATGTGGAGTATTCTATATTTTAATGAAGATATTCAGAATAATGACTTTATGATCATTTTCATGGACAATATTATACTCACTAATGTTACTGACAACATTCAACAATCACGTTTGATCAACAAATTCATCTCTATCGGTTAAAATATCTTACATATAAAGCTATGTAAATTAGAGTGAAGCCTAAGGAAGAACTAATTAATAACAGTGCTGTTCGCTGATATGTCTTTCATTAAATTTTAATAGTGGAAATATTTAAAAGTTTAAGAGGTTGAAAGACGATAGCTGTTTTCACTTTCTTAGCGCCAATTACCATCAACGGGAGGGATTTGAAAGAGGTTACTTCATTCACTCATTTATCTAGGGAGCATTGTCTCAACTACAGAGGATGTCAAATCGAGCGAGAATCGGGAAGGCGAGAAACACATTCATCAACCTGAAATCAATCTGGAAATTTTTGTCACTCAGTATCAACAACAAAATTCCGTCGGACTTTCAATACAAACGTCAAGTCAGTCAGTTCTATACGGATCAGAAACTTGACTGGCGGGTCACAAAGAATATTCCCAACAGCCTGTTGCAGACCAGACCTTTATCAACAACTGTCTTCGTTGGATCTAAACTGAAGATCAGATGGCCGGGCCGGAAGGAATCACCAACAAGAAACTATGGGAACAAACAAACAAACAAACAAAACAAGAACCAACAAACATGCAGGAGAAAGTGGAGATGGATTAGACAGTCGCTGAGGAGGCCGCTGGGTGACATCGCGCGTCAGGCCATTGCTCGAGTGGAACCAGGCCGAAAGGGAAGCACGCGGCGAGTGGGACGTCAGTGCAAGGGTGACATGGAGGAGGTCGTGTGAAGAGGAGTTGAAATAGTATGGACTAACATGGATGCAGGTGAAAAGTACAGCAGAAGGAAGACAGAAGCAAGTGGAGACGTGCAGTTGAAGCCCTATGTCCTACTAGGAACCCAAAGGAACAATAATAATAACAATAAGGAGAATGAAAAAAACGAATTTTACTTAATCAAATTCGCAAGTTCATTTTCAGTTTACACAGTCCGGGGTGAAATCTCACCACAGTGTCCTTTGAAATCCTAAGTTACTCATATCACTATTTGTCATTTGCCTGATGCAATAATCGCCAGTGAAGAAAGCCAGGGCGACTGAATGGCGCCTAACGCCACTGACTGACAGGAATAAGTAGTTGGACACCACTAATATGAACCAGTAGTGTTCGCTAGCGAGATCGGGGCCTTTAGATAACTTCGACTATGCTTTAAGATATTCAACTGATTGAACAGATATATACCAGATACATAAAACTGTGGAGACAGTATTATTCTGTTCAAAACGCATAATGGAATGGAATGTATAACCTTGTAAGTAATACGTCCTTAACCAAAGCAGTCACATTCTTATGTGTCGCATACAACAGTAAAATGTCTGCTATGAAGTTGAAAAAAGTGCTAGGTCCGATAATTAAATCACAGAAGAGTTTGTATGTGTATAAACAAAAAATTTGGAGCTCATTTCATTGTATTTGAGTCAGTGCTTGTGTGCCGCCTGACTGTTAAGTGAATACACTAATTCTTACCAGTTTCAAATACCTCGCCGAAGGGAGACACAAAACAAAGGTGATGCTTCGAGAATCAGTAGACTTGTGTGTGCAGATTAGTAAAAACGAACCGTATAAATCCGTGATTCTTAGCATGCCATCGCATACTGCTTCACAGAATACAACACCGTACTGAAGTATATGCATAATAATAATAATAATAATAATAGCTTTATTCCAATCAGTACTTTTGGTACAAATATGGAATTTTCAGCGTGTAATGCGATATCGCATTTAATTTTCTCATTACAGGAGTAATAATTAAAATAGGGCATTCACATTATTTATTAATATTGTTCGGTAAGAAATGAATATAAAATTCAATTCAGTAAAAATGTTAACGACAATGTAACAGTGTGAACAAAAAAGTACCGTTTACTCAGTACCGTTCCTCAGTAAGTTGGTAGTTTCCTGCCTTACACTTTTCTCATTATATGTAGTGTGTCCCAGCTAAATAAGGTATTGTAGAGTTGTTGTACTTAGTCGGCCGAGCATATAGTCTTCTGCAGTTGCTTCTAGTTCTACTCGATGAGAGAGATGCAAGGAGAGAGTTGTGTGTAGAGAGGATATTCAGAGTCTGACAGGATAACGTTTGCAATTTTTTTGCAGGAATTCAAGTGTCTGTCTACAGTAGTATTAACGAGTTGATTCAACAACATCCCACTCACCCTACTGACGGCTTTTACTGCCCTACGCATTATAACAAAGTTTTCTTTAAGTAGCTCTGGAAAGATTAAGGGGGAAAGTAAAGAAGCATAGAAAGAGACGGAATGATATCAGATAGTCTTAACTTCCTTACATAGAACGTCAAACGAAATATCTTTCTGGAAACTAACATGATATGGAAAGATCAGGAAAGGTGATCAGAGGAAATACACAGACCAAGGTATACAACACTGGATTTGGTTTCAACTTCAGTGCCATCTATGATAGTGCAACCGTGTGAACTACCCAGTTCACGTAAGTCACGCTTGCATCTGAAAGTGAAATTAACCACCTGACATTTGGAGGTATTAAGCTTAAGACCATTTGATGATGAGGACCACTGACTAATTACTGATAAAAAGTTATCCATTTTGGAACAGTGTAACTGAGAAGTAACAGGCATAGAAACAGTCAGATCACCGGCATACTTGACAATATTGGTTTCACAAGAATTGGGCAAGTCATGCAGGAAGAAAGAACAGCATTTTGAGTTAGGAACACCTTCTAGAGTAAGTGAAGCAGTAAAGGACTTCCTATTGTAAACACTGTACTGCTTCCTATCAGAAAAATAGGAATGCAACCACTTATTAATCCAACACTGCGCTTGTGACGCAGAGAGCTTGTTTAACAAAAGAGGCCTAGATACATAGTCGAAGTCAGATGTGTAATCTAGAAAGGCACACAAAACATATTTGGTACCTCTATCTAAACTAGAGACAATATTATGATATAAGATGACAGTGGCGTCTAAAGTACACCTACTAACTCTATAAGCAAATTGATTAGTGTTGTTGAAAGCATTCAATGAAGGTTCAATGTTAAGTAAAAGTAGTCTTTCCATTATTTTTGTACATATGTACTCTACTGTGTTACTAACGTTGTTTTCCATATACGATTTGTTATAATGGTGGTACCAAATAAGACCATTTTCTCCTCAAATAATCAAATCCCTTTTGGATACTTAAGGTCTGGAAGTTATTAGTAACTTACTTTATACATAGAGTTTAACTTGAAATATAACATGGATGGTCGATAGTGCAAGGAAAGATAACACAGCGTATCAGCAAAAAAAAGTGAAAGTGATATCTGGTGTCTCTCCAATTATTATTATTATTATTGTATCCTTTAGTTCCTAGAGGAACATAGGGCTTCAGCTGCACACCTCCATTGCCTTCGGTTTTCTGACAACTTTTTCACCCTGCTCCAGGTCTGTCCACATGTTTTCATCTCCTCCTCCCGTGACCTCCTCCAAGTCACCCTTGGACGACCAACTCGCCGCCTCCCTTTCGGGTTCCACTCGAGCGATGGCTTGTCTAGTGATGTCACTTGATGGTTTCCTCAGATAATGGCCAATCCACCTCCATTTCTTCCTGCCTATTTGTTTCACAATCGGTTCCTGGTTGGTTCGCTCCCAGAGATCTTTGTTGCTGATCTTTTCTGGCCGGCCATCTGATCTTGAGTATTGAGCGAAGACAACTGTTGATGAAGGTCTGAAGTTTGTTTGAGATGCTCCTTATGACTCGCTAAGTCTCTGATCCGTATAGAAGCACTGATTTTACATTGGAGTTGAAAATCCGGACCTTATTTTTGATGCTGAGTGCTGTTGACCTCCACACAGAT